TAAATTCGAGATGTTTGTCCTTTACATTAACTATAGTCCATGAGTAGTGTGCTGGAACCAGTATACACTGACTCATAAGAGCCAACTGTTAAATTTTTTTTTAATGTTTTTTAATTGATTTTAGAGAGAGGAAGGGAGAGGGCTAGAGAGATAGAAATATCAATGATGAGAGAGAATACTAGATCAGCTACCTCCTGCATGCCCCCAACTGGGGATCCAGCCCAAAACCCAGGCATGTGCCCTTACTGGGAATCGAAACAGTGAATTTTGGTTCATGGGTTGATGCTCAATCACTAAGCCACACCGGCTGGGCCCAACTGTTAAAATTTCAAGAACTGTACAAGTCATTGTTAAACAAAACTATGATTAAGAATTAAATTATATAAAGTAAAAACTAAACAAATAATATGACAAAGGTAATAATTACTCCAAACTCACTTCCTAAATATTCAGCACATTTTACTCTGTGGTTAATTACACTTATTATATTTATGTATGTATGTATGTACGTATGTATGTTCGTGTGTGAGAATAATATAAAATTGTAGGAAATAGTATCTTTACCCAGCTTTTTATTCAGTGACAATACTTTGGTAGCTTGAAACTGACCATGATAGGAGTATTTACACCAAAGGAACTGGTAAATCCTACAAAGCATGGCTTTCTCTTTTTTCCCTGAGTAACTGTTAAACATTTACCAGCAAACAACAAAGTCCACTCATTATTCTGAATCAACAGATTATTTCAAAATGCAATTCACATGCTCAGCCCCTACCCAGAAATTAAAATTCAGTAGAACAGGAGTATATACATGGGTATTTTTTTACATGTATTTTTAAAAAGACCATCTCTCCTCCAAAAAAATTTTGATACACACCTCCACCTAAGAACAACTATTTGAGGTATCTAAAACAATATTATGTATCTACCATATTAGATGCTAGAAAGAGACATACAGAAAACTGCATTAAGACCCAAAAACAAGTCTCTGCAAACCATAAGTAAAACTGTGACACAGCTTTTTTTTTTTTTATCAAGGATCAAAAAATAGCCATAGGAAAGCTTCTTTAGGTTTTAAATTATTAAAGAGGTTGCTGCTTATACTATTCAATAACTTTCATACAAAGACTACAATGAGACAACTAGATATCCACATGTAAAAAATGAGGTTGGATCCTTACCTAATACTATCCTATCTAATAAAAGACAAAAAGGGTAATTAATCGTACCTCCGCTACGCTACCCATTGGCTAATCAGGGCGATATGCAAATTAACTGCCAACAAAGATAGCGACTGGCAGCCACGCAGCTGAAGCGAATATGAGGCTTGCTTGCTCCAGTGATGGAGGAAGCCAAGGTTCCCCACCTGCCGCGGCCCGGCTCTGAGCTCCGAAAGCAACAGCTCCAAAAGCAACAAAGTTTCAATTATAGAAGCTAAACAAACCCCAGATACCTGCTTTCAGCCAGCCGCGGCCTCAGAGCTGGGAGCGCCAATAATGGCAACAATGTTTCAATTATAAAAGGTAAATAAATCCCAGAATAAAAAAAAAAAAAAAAGAGGCTGGGAGCTTCAGTTGCCCGCCAGCCTGAAAACGGCCCTCAGCCCCTCACCCAGACTGGCCAGGCACCCCAGTGGGGACCCCCACCCTGAAGGGGGTGTGACCAGCTGCAAACAGCCATCAGCCCCTCACTCAGGCCGGCCAGGCACCCCAGTGGGAACCCCCACCCTGAAGGGGGTGTGACCAGCTGCAAACAGCCATCAGCCCCTCACTCAGGCCGACCAGGCACCCAAGCGGGACCCCCACCCTGATCCGGGACACCCTTCAAGGCAAACCAGCCGGCCCCCACCTGTGCACCAAGCCTCTATCCTATATAGTAAAAGGGTAATATGTAAACTGACCCTAACAGTAGAAAGACTGGGAATGACTGGTCATTATGACATACACTGACCACCAGGGGGCAGACGCTCAATGCAGGAGCTGCCCTCTGGTGGTCAGTGAGCTCCCACATGGAGGAGCTCTGCTCAGCCACAAGCCAGGCTGATGGCTGCCAGTACAGCGGTGGTGGTGGGAGCCTCCTGCCTCCTCAGCAGCTCTAAGGATGTCTGACTGCAGCTTAGGCCTGCTCCCCACTAGCAAGTGGACATCCCCCGAGGGCTGCCAGAGGGATGTCTGATTGCCATCTTAGGCCCAATCCCCCGGGGAGCGGGCCCAAGCCAGCAGGTGGTCATTCCCCAAGGGGTCCCAGACTGCGAGAGGGCACAGGCCGGGCTGAGGGACCCCCCCTACCCCCGAGTGCACAAATTTTTGTGCACCAGGCCTCTAGTCTTTTGTAATAAAAGGATAATATGCAAATTGACCCGAACAGCAGGACCATCGGGAACAACTGGTCACTATGATGCACACTGACCACCAGGGGGCAGATGCTCAACACAGGAGTTGCTCCCTGGTGGTCAGTGCGCTCCTACAGGGGGAGCTCCGCTTAGCCACAAGCCGGGCGGATGGATGGCTGCGAACGCAGTGGCGGTGGCGGAAGCCTCTCCCACCTCCTCCGCAGTGCTAAGGATGTCTGACTGCGGCTTAGGCCCGTATCCCACACCATCAATCGGACATCCCCCAAGGGCTCCCGGGCTGCCAAAGGGATGTCTGACTGCCAGCTTAGGCCTGATCTCCCAGAGAGCGGGCCTAAGCCAGTAGGTGGACATCCCTCGCGCAGTCCCGGACTGCAAGAGGGCGCAGGCCGGGCTGAGGGACCTCCCTGAGTGCATGAATTTTCGTGCATCAGGCCTCTAGTAAATAATAATAGAAAAGCGTAATATGCAAAGTGTCCCCTCGGGAGTTTGATCGCTTGCTATGACGTGCGCCAGGTGGCAGCGCAGAACGAAGGAAGGCCCCGGCTGGCAGCTGGGGAAGGGAGGCCCCCGCCGGCAGCTGGCAGCTGCTAGGGACCCTACCTGTGCATAAATTTTTGCACTGGGCCTCTAGTACTATAAATAATAAGTAACTCAAAATAGATCAAAGATTTAAATGTAAGAGCTAAAACTCTAATATTCTTTGAAGAAAACATAGGCATTAATCTTTGTGACCTTGAATTAGACAATGGTTTCTTAAATGACACCTAGACAACAAACATTTAAATAAATTGGATTTCACTAAATTAAAAACATTTGTGCTTTAAAGGATACCATCAAAAACATGAAGACAACCCATACTATGAAAGAAGTTTTTGCAAATCATATATATAAGAAACTTATATCCAAAATAAAGAACTGTTATAAATCAACAATAGACAATACAATAAAAAAAAAATGGGTAAAAGATCTAAATAGACATTTCTCCAAACGAGATATACAAATGGCCAATAAGCCCATGAAAAGATGATCAACATTATTTAGCCATCAGGAAAATGCAAATCAAAACTACAATGAGATTACCACTTCACACCCATTTAAGATGGCTATAATCAAAAAGTTAGATAACAACAACTATTGGCAAAGATGTAGAGAATTAGAAACCTTGTACACTGTTGGCAAGAATGTAAAATGGTACAGCTGCTTTGGAAAACAATCAAGCAGTTCCTCCAAAGGTTAAACACAGAGGTTAAAAAAGGTTTAAGCCATGATACAGCAATTCTACTTCTAGATATACTAGTAAACCCAAGAGAAATGAAAAATATGTCTACTCAAAACCTTGTATATGAATGTTCATAATTCATAACAGCATTATTCATAATAGTCAGAAAGTGGAAACAACCCACATGATCATCAACTGATGAATGAGTAAACAAAATGTGATATGTTAATACAATGGAATATTATTTGGCAAAAACACGGAATAAAATATGAATACACCCTATAATCTTTCATGAACCTTGAAAACACTATGCTAAGTGAAAGAAGCTAATCACACACAAAAAAATATATTGTATGGCTGCATTATTGTATGAAATATCTGAAACAGGCAAATCTGCAGTGATAGTAAGTCAAATAGTGGTTGCCTAGGGTTTCAGGTAAGTTGGAGTGATAAGAGGATGACTGTTAAAGGACATGGGGTTTCTTTTGGAAGTGATGAAAATGTTCTAAAATTGATGGTGGTGATGGTTGGATGACTGTGAATATACGAAAAATCACCAAAGTGTATACTTTAAATGGGTGAATGGTACAGTATCCTATCTAATAAAAGAGTAATATGTAAATTGACTGTCACTCCATGACAAAGATGGCGGCACCCTGGCGGTGTCACCCTGGCAACGTGAGCCCAGCGTCCGCGCCCCAGCCACGTGGAGGGAGGGGAGGGACCCCAGCTGCGCGGAGGGACGCTGGCGTCGTTGCAGGCCGGGCTGAGGGCCTTTCCCCCTCCCCCGGTGCACGAATTTCATGCACCGGGCCTCTAGTTTGAATTATCTCTCAATAAATGTTACATTTCTTGGGGGTAGGGGGAGAAGCTTTAGAAAAGACTTCCATTCCTAGCAAACACCTGTGTCCTTCTATCCAATTACTACATCATAAATTGTGTTTCTCTTTAGCTTAACTGCCAGGAATTCATCACTAAATTTTGTGGTCACATGAGCTTTACTTTACCTAAATTTTCTAGTTCAGTTTCCGTTACCACCATGCCTTACTTTCATTGTTTTAAGTGTTCTATTTTAAGCCTTTTCATTCTTGGAAGCAGGCAGAATATGATGGTTGGCTTGAACTCTGAAAACTTAAGAATATGTTTAGATATTCATGACCCCTACCAAGGTAAAGAAACCTTAAGAAGTTCAGCTTGAGCTCTACCAATGAATTTTCTTCACCTTAACTACCACCAAGAAGTGAAACAATCAGAATTATGAGTTTGCCGGAGGACTTTTTTTCTCTAAATTACATTATCTATACAGAACACTGTAATGCAATAGTACACATTTACCATATATTTACCACACAAGATAATATTTAAAATGGAACATAAATAACAGGTCACTACTGAAATTTAACTTTACTTTGGGAAATTTATTCCTACCCTAACAGGTGAGGATGACTCCTCTGTATTTCGTTTCTGAGATTCAGTGTCCATATCTTGGCGCTTGTTCTTCATTCTTTCTCTAAGATCCCCTGTAGGTCTTTCTGGTGACCTTTAAAAACAAAACAAAAACAAAACAGCAAAAATCTATATTTATATATCATTTTATAAGAGTATATTTGCAGAAATAAACTCAAAAATCTCAATATAATTTTTCTAACTGCCCATGGCTCCTAAATTTCAGAAAAAAAAATTAATTTGTTTCAGTTTAACATTAACATAAATAATATGAGCATCATTTAACAAATTTTCTCCCAATCCCAATCCAATGTATCCTTTAAAATTCCATGGGGGGGGGGGGGGGCAGGTACTGGTAACATGAATAAGAAACTATGTCTGAGCTGAGAAAAAAACAATTAGTAATTAACAATTTAATCACATAAATATTCAAGGTGTAACAAAAGTAAGTTTACAGTTGTTCATATGGAAAATACAATAACTAATAAATAATAAACAAGAGTAAACTCTGTGTTTTGAGTACTCACATCCATAAACCTACTTTTGCCCCACCCTGTATTAGTTATATTTGAAAACAAAAAAGTAGGAAGATAAAGTTTTAAGCCATGGCACTGCAAAATTAATCTAAAAGCAACAGTATAATCATCTACACATGTATTTAGTTGGATGCAACATCAACAACTGAGAAGATACTTTATGCCTCTTAAGAATCAAAGTTAAATAGAGAAGTTTTGTGTAATTCTTATAACTTTTCTTAAATTTAAAATTATTTCATAATAAAAAGAAATGATTCATAGCAATATTTTAGACAGTGATTTTATATTCTGCTCTGGATTTTAAAAAAATACCCACATTTATATTCAACACTGGTAAGGCTTTATAATTTAAATTGGAAATTTGATAAATGGCTGTTCAATTATTTCACACCATTACTGAGTAGGAAAAACAAAACAGAGATAGAAAACATACTGCCTTTAAAGAATATTCCCAGAACATTTAAAAAAGAAGGCAATATAAGTTAAAGAATATGCCCCTCTTTAGCCATTAAAAAATATTATATATAATATCTTCAAACGATAAATACAAATCACATAAATATTCACATCTATTTCAAGTAACAGTTGATCGATCATATCAATTCCTTTAATGTATCAGTCATTAAAACAAATCACATAGTGAAGAAATAATTTGTTAACTCACTTTAAAGGATCTAATTAACATTTACATGTTTATTTTATAGATCTATATTAAATGTTTTAACAGTTAAAGCTTAACTTAAATGGAACTCCTTAGCCCTAACCGGTTTGGCTCAGTGGAAAGTGTCGGCCTGCCGACTGAAGGGTCCCAGGTTCCAGTCTGGTCAAGGGCACATGCCCAGGTTGTGGGCTCGTTCCCCAGTAGGGGTCATGCAGGAGGCAGCCAATCAATGATTATCTCTCATCATTGATATTTCTATCTCTCTCTCTCCCTTCTTCTCTGAAATGAATAAAAAATATATATATTTAAAAAATGGAATTCTTATTATAAACCAGTACATAAATCCTTTAAATTATAATTATGTACATGTAAATTTTTGTCTTAGTTTTCTGCATATAACAAAAATTTATTGTAAATCTGTTTCTATCCTAAACAGCACCTAACAGAGTACTCTATATATATACCATGAATGCTCAATAAATGACTTAAACGTCTTTTGACTAAATAAGCATTATCTGAAATACATTGCTTTTCTTTCCTTCTTTGAATCACATTATGACTATATTTCTTCCCTACAAATAAAGTAAATTACACAAATACAAGTTATCAGATAAAAGAAAAAATACACAAAAGAGCAAAATTATGATAAAAATTCATTTATGCTAAGTCTAGTATGATACTATTTTTTTCCACTTTAGACAAATTTCTTTGCTATTTTCCTCAAAACTGTCTCCTGTATTAAATTTTTCAGTTAGTAATAAATTTCAAAGATGAATTAAATAATTATTAAAAGTGTAGTAATAATATAAACAAAACAATATTACTGAAATAGTTGACCAGGTATGTGTTTATACAGGTAATTAAACCTATGAAGACTAATCTCCCCTCATTAACAGAAAAGACAAATGACAATCTAAACACAAATAAGACAATATTCAGCATCACAAGTAAACGAAAATATAAAACATTTAAGTGAACAGAAAGTTTGAATTTTAAATTCAAGTAAACTGGAGCCCTAGCCAGTTTGGCTCAATGGATAGAGCATCAGCCTGTGGACTGAAGGGTCCGGGGTTCAATTCTGGTCAAGGGCACATGCCCAGACTGTGGGCTCGATCCCCAGGAGGCAGCCAATCAATGATTCTCTCTCATCACTGATGTTTCTCTCTCCCTCTCCCTTCCTCTGAAATCAATAAAATATATTAAATGCAATTAAACTTGAAAACCTATATATACACACAAAAAATCTCCAAATCCTAATGGTCAATTTTTATACTATTCCTATAGCCAAAGCAATCAGTACACCCAATTTTAAAACTAGATAAATTATTTCTTTACCAATCAAGTTTAAACTTTTTGTGACAATCTTTACATAAGCTACATCTTTAAACACCAACTATAATAAAATCATCATAAGGAAACCAAAAGAAAAATAAAAGGTCTTTATTAGGAAAGATTAATTTAGTACTGCCATTATTAAAGGCATATGATATTCAAAATAGCTCCATTTATCCTTATATAAATACATATTTTCATTTACATTAATACACTGCGATAAGGATTTGGCAAATGCATTTTAACCTTCAGAGTTCGCATTAGATTATCTTTTGTCATCAAGATTCAAATTTAGAACATCTTAAAAAGCTAAAATTATATCCTATTTAAATTTCAATAAAATTCTGTCTTAGCAGCAGTTTAATACATAATTGGGAGGGTTAAGTAAGCCACACATATATTATAAAAAAGATCTATTGTCAAAACAGTAAATATTGAACAAAGAAGTTAACTTTAAAGCAAATATTTTATTAACCTTGAATTTAAAACTAAAAAGATCTTATCTATCTTTGATTACATCAACAAGACTACTACCAAGATAGAAAATCTGATCAAATATATGGTTTTATTTCAGATTTTTATAGTAGATAAACTATAAAAGCCATTTTCTAATTGTATATGAACAATTCAAAATTCTCAATTTACCTTCTGTAATTGCTGCTATAACCTTTACCACGGGGTGAAAGGCCATGTACGAATCTACATGTGTTTCCATAGAGGCAGTTGCCAGTCTTCAGCCAGTTACGGCACTGTGTCTAAGAGACAGATATTACTATGTAAATTTCATATTTATTTCTGGACAAAAGATGCTAGTGGAAAATTAAAATAAATGCTATCAAAATTGCAGCTAACCTGAGATATACATTACTCCCCAAATAATAAAACATCAGAGAGAAAAACCCCACAAACTCACAAACCCTATCACTCTTTTCAAGTCTTTTAATGAAACATATTTTTTAAAAATGTACTGAACCAACATACATACAACCAGTTCACCTTTATTATACAAAATCGGTATTTTTAAAAAAGGATTGCAAGAGAATCCCTGAAACTACAAGTGACAACTCACCTCTGCTGTACTGCCAGTGCTGGGTCCAAGTCTCTCAAAGACACTGGGTCTTCGGGATGTGCTTTCAGATATGGTCTTCGTATTTTCCACTGTGACTTTCCTTCTAATTTTTGACATTTTGTACTACTTTAACAAAAAACGAGAGAGAGGGGGAGAGGGAGAGGGAGAGGGAGAGAGAGAGAGAGAGAGAGAGAAGCTAAACAGTAAAATTCTTCAATTTAAAATAACTGAGCACATAGCACATAACTTGCAAGTAGATAAAACTGTAGATAACACTGTAAAATTATAAGGGATTTTTCTCAGAACAAAAAGAAAGGAATAGGAGGTCACAAGTAAATATAAGTAAATAGAAGTTATCTTCTAAGACACAGGTCAGGGCACATGCCCAGGTTTCAGGCTTGATCCCCAGTGGGGGCGTGCAGGAGGCAGCCGACCAATGATTCTCTCTCATCATTGATGTTTCTATCTCTCTCCCTCTCCCCTCCTCCCTATTTTCCAAGTAAAAAAACTATACAGTGAACTCTACATCATGTACTCAGTATTATAAGACAATCTTTGATTTAACTTTTCTTGGGCTTATTCTCAGTCCAAATGTGAATTTACAGAGGAAAAGTTGGTAAAATTTCGTATGTCCATTTGTTTTACTGAACATAAAGAACTAAAGCCAATATGAGTGGAAATGAGAAATATGTAGAAAATGTAGAGCTTTGATTAACCAAGAAAACCACTATTTTATAATTTAAAAATGAGCAGAATTTGAGAAGTACATATGTAATAAAATATATAGGAAAAGTTAGAACAAAAACACATTTTAAAGTTTCATTTTGTTACTAAAATATTAACATATAGATTACATTGTAATGCTCACTCACTAATTTTAAAAACATTTGTTAATAAACTTAAAATCACGTGAGTTTTAAAATTTCCATAGTAGCTATTATTAGTATGTGGAATGTGGAAAAGAGGCACCCATCCCACCATATTGCTTCAAAGAAAACTAACCCTAACCTTACAATTTTTTCTCTCCACTATCAATTGAAATGGTTAGTTCTGTCCTCAAAACGCCTATTCCCAACATGCCCTCATCCCCAATACACTCTCCTCCAATGGTGCCACAGTTGGGGCAACAAGCTATTTATTATTATACTTGTAACAATGGTCATCTGTCAGCTTCTTGTTTTTCTGAGGGCTCCAGGTATTAACTCTTGTTTCTCTTCCTGCTCTGTAACCTGTGGCTTGGATCAGCACTGTTCTCCTTCCCTGACCTGCTGGAAAGTATAGTCTCCCAGCTTCTCTTCAAGTCCAGATCCCTAACATAAGCTTTAAAGATTTCAAAGGGTTTGGACTGCTATGTTAAAGACTATCAAGTGATGACTAATAATTCCATATTGCCCCTCTCCTTGTATTCTTGCCACTAAAAAAGTTCCTTCACACAGAGACAAAGTTGCTTTTACGGTGACGTAAGAACATCTCAAGATTCATCAACATAGTGCTTATCCAGGAATTTTACTTCGAGCTACTGTTGAGTCCACCAACTTAAAGAAGAATAGCAATGAAGTAAAGGTGTGTTCTCCTCTTTTCTCAGAGTCTAACAGTGTCAGACCTTGCCCCAATGAGTTTGAGTACCAGGTCTAGGTTACAGGAAGATCCTAGACTAAAAAAAATAAAAAATAAATCTGAAGCAAAGGGGGAAAAGTAGGAACTGGAGTTTTCTAAATGAAAGAAAGAAGAATTCTTCTGATCATCTATCTATCTAAGAACTTTCATTGGTAGTCAACAAGTTATCTAAATATTACTGAAACATTCATGATTTTGCATAGATAAATGCTTTATGCTTGCAAATACAAAAAATAATATTTTATATCCAATTTTCTAAATATGTACACATAATCTAAAGTACACCAGAAAAGCATTTACTCATATATAGTAATTAATGAATTTAAAACTGTTACCAACTAGTGTGACTTCATTAGGATTTTCAATCTAAAAATTTGGGCCTACAAAGGAAGATAAATACCGCAACAGAATAAAATGCAAATCTGACTGAGGAAGAGGGGCTTTTTCAATTAATATCTACAAAGGCTTCAATAAGAAGTAAATGTTTTAGAGTATGAGAAAAATTAGAAACAATAAATTTTTTTAAAATGCAAATATTAAAGTCTTCCCTAGCTCAGAGTCTTTGAAGGTTTTCTTTCTGGTTTTGTTTTCAAATTTTTCTTTGGTTTTAAGTTGCCACCACACTTCACATTATATCTTTCCCAAACAGCAGCATTATTAAAACCAGAGTGACACTGGTGAGTCTATCGTTACAGTATTTTCCTATTTCTCCTCTTCATTTTCAGAGTTAATAAAAGATCAGAGGTCATTATATTTTTTCAATTGAAAAAAAAATAGGCCGAAACCGGTTTGGCTCAGTGGATAGAGCGTCGGCCTGCGACCTGAAAGGTCCCGGGTTCGATTCCGGTCAAGGGCATGTACGTTGGTTGCGGGCACATCCCCAGTAGGAGATGTGCAGGAGGCAGCTAGTCGATGTTTCTCTCTCATCGATGTTTCTAACTCTCTATCCCTCTCCCTTTCTCTCTGTAAAAAATCAATAAAATATATATTTTAAAAAAAAATAGGTGATAAAGTTTGAATCATTAAGACACAATAAAGCACAGTCTCAATAAATAGGAACTGTCCGCCCCTCAAAAACTTACAAACATCATAATGTTTGTAATTCGTACTATAAATTTGACTGAGAAAGAAAAAACATACAGCAGCCTCTTTGTAAACAATTATTTCTGAAGTCTAATGACTGAAATCTTGTCAATAAAACATGTATCAGTTCTAGTATGCTCTCTTCAATTCTTAACTACATCTTTTTGAGGCCTCATCTTCCAGTAGCAAAAATGAAAGCATAATCTGATAAGCAGCAGCATAATATTAGTAAATCGTCAAATAATTAAACAATTAAAACTACATAAGTGTACTAACTGGTAGTAGAATAAATCCCTATCTACTGCAGTTCTAAAATAAAAAGGGTTATGTTAAATATTAGGTCTCTTCACATTTATATTTCATATTTTTGAAAGAAAAAATTTAGATTTATTTGATGCATAGCCTGGTAGAATTTTTTAAAAAGAACTTTCTAAAACAATCTTGCACATCACTTATATGTAAATAGACTAAAACAATTCCAAACTGAATTGTGAACAGAAGTGACCAAACTAGATCTTGCTATCCACACAAACATCATGCAGCCAAAGAGTAAGTTGGGATCATAGTACTGGTCTAGTGTTGTCTCATTGGACATAATTTACCACTGGCCAGCCTCCAAATTCCCATACAGAACAAAAAAACCCCCACAAAACAAACAAACAAACAAACAAAGAAGTGACCAAACTAACCTGACTACACAGGTATGAACAAGGCAATAATACTGCTGCACTGTGCAGAAAAAATAATTTGTTAAAAAGACTATGCACAGAAAAATCCCTTTCTGGTAACTAAAGAGAAGTAAACAGAACTGCAAAATACAAAACAAACAAACAAACAAAAACACAAAGAAAAGAATAAAAGGCACTTTATATATCAACACAAGTTAGCGTTTCAACTGCTACTAAGTATCTGCTGAAACAGTTCTAACTCTATATGACAAGGAGAGAGGTTTGGGGGAGATGGGGAAAGTAATGAGCACTGAAAACCATTTCTTCAAATACCTGTAAGTTAAACAACTTTGCTTTCTATATGTAAATGCAATGCATATTATAATACAAAGTAACACTGATAATTTGTTCGTGAGTTAAAATAACATCCGCCCGCAGAAATTACAGATATGGAAATTGGATGGATTTGCATATCTTAAAATATGCAATCAATGTTCATTTCAAATCACCAATAATTAGGAAGCCAGTAAAAGTCATGTATTTGATAAAACTGGATCCTACCAGATCCAGTCTTAGTTTCACCCTGCAACTATTTTTACAGACACAATTTGCATCAACATTCAGTATCTTGTTGAAATTGTCATGTTACAATCTAAATACTTCATTAAGAAATTGTAAATTATTTGAAAATCTATAGATTTTGTTCACAAAATTCTCCAAAATACTTTCGCTTAGGTACTAAAGACAGTCAGTAATTTCAAATATTACAGAACGAGACTGCTAATTATGCCTGGATTGTACTGCATAAACATATTTAGATTTGCTGCAACAGTATCATGAACTTTGAAAACTTGAGGTGTGAAGATCTTTTCTAAATTTTGTAAATTATTTTTTTCACAAAACCAAAAACCTGAAGAGATTGCATATGCCCATAATTTTCAAAGTAGTTCAAATTATCTGAAAACCTCGCAAAATAACTGAATAGCTTGACACTCCACTCCACAGACAAGATCCTACCAATATCATTTAAGTAATATTAACTCCGAATAATCCTGTAGCCACATGAGGTATTTTGCCATACATCAGATAATGCCAAACACCAGGCCCTCTCCTTTCATTCTTCCCGGTTTCTGCCATGTCGTTGCCAAAACTACCTCCCTAGGGAATGTGATCATCAAGTAGCACTCCTCAACTCCGAGGGCCCAAGTCGTTAAGTTCCCAGTGCCGGGAAGTAAGACCAAATACAACCAAAGGAAGATACTTTCCCCCAGTAAGTCTGGAATGCGTAATAAAAAAGGGGGGGGGGGGGGCGGCTTCTAAATCTAAAACTATACTCCTACAGCCTTCCACTGCATTCAAAAGCGAATACCACGCAAGGGCTCCCAAGCCCACCTCAAATACGGCCCTTCCGTCTGAATCCACCTGCCCCTCAGACAAACTCACCAGGACCAGAACGAGGGCGGGAAAGGAGACCTGAGCACAGGAGGCTTTGCAGAACGGAGAGAAGGATGCTCAAGGGGCTCAAAATCGCGGCTTGTCGCAAGTGGTAAGGAGACGACTCCGGGCCTTCCCAGCCCGGGTCCGCCCGACGCCTTCCCCCGATACCCGCACCAAAGCACACAATTCAAGCTTACCTCCTCCCCGAGCTCCCTTCGCAGGCACAGTCGGGAGGCGTCGCCGCCGCCACCGCTCTGAGGAGCAGGGGATGCGACTCTCTGTCCCCGCGCGTGGCCCCGGGAGGACAACAAGAAGGAGATGCGCGCGCGGCTCCCGGGAACCGGCCCTCGGCTGGCGAGGGGGCCCGGGGGCGGCTGAGAAGCGGAACTCGCCAGCCGCTTCGCCAGTATCAAGCGAGACTGGGACGTAGAGAGAAAAACAACAAAGAGACGCTGGGAAATAAGAAAAGCCAACGAAAACACTTTCAGGGCACCAGAAGGAGCGCCTCAAAATACCGCCGGAAGTCGAGGGTTTGCCCTGTTCCTCTACAGGCCGAGGCAGCTTCCGGCTGCCAAATTAGACGTCAGCACGCAGGCACCGCCCCTCCGTGGACTCGCCCTCCACCGCCCCCGGAGGCGGCAGTGGGAATTGGCTGGTCTTGGTGAGAGATTCCTGGAGAGGGTCTCAAATTCCCAATTAAAAATGATTTTAAGCCCAGCCGGCCTGGCTCAGTGATTGAGCGTCAAACTGTGAACCAGGAAGTCAGGGTCCATTCACGGTCAGGGCACGTGCCTGGGTTGAGGGCTGGATCCCCAGTGCGGGTGTGCAGGAGGCAGCTGACCAATGATTCTGTCCATCATTAATTCCCCCCCCCCCTCCCCCCATTCCTCTCTGAAATCAATAAAAATATTTTAAGAGGGAGAGTTTTGTTCTTTTATTACATTAGTTCTTAGTTCTTGCAATAAGCTGTTGTAAATGTGGTAAAGGCCACATTTGTTGTTGAAAGTAAGTACATTCATTGGCTCTACAAAGTTTAATGAACGCTGAGCTGGAGCGAAAGGAAATATTTATTCTGTTATTGACACTCCACTTTCTGGGCCATGGTCTATTCCTGTGGAGCGAACGGAAGCACAGCTGTGTTTTTAAAGGCACAAGCAGAATTTGTTGAAAATTAAAGCAAAAATATTTAATGTATTTCTGGCAACCTTTTTTTTTTCTTGTTTAGGGTCTAATCATTTGCATTAAACTAGTTATTAAAATTACTTGAGATGGTTATGTTAGGGGCAGAAATAGACTATTGGGGACTAGCTATAATTATAAAAAATATTAATCATGTTCTGTTAACCATGATTTTTCTATTCTGATGAGAGAAAGCACATTTTAACCTGGCTGAAAGATGTAGGCCCTGGGATATGAGAGCCTACATCAGAATGCAGTTCATTTTCCTTCTTCCAGAACTACCTATTGTGGAAAGATTAAACAATTTAGTCCTAGTCCCTGGGCGACCCCCAAACCCACATGGCCTGTAACCATTATACCTTGCCTACTTTCCTACATAATCTTTGTCCCTCTATCCAATATAAGCAGCTGGCTTGTGGGGAGGGGCAGAGCAGATTTTTGTGGATGACCTGCTGCTCTCCCTCTCCCATGCTGCCGGCTTTATTGGAATAAACACTCATATATGATTCATGATTCAACCCTGTCTCTTCTCAATTAGCTCAAGTAGTGACAGGCAGTCAGGACCCATTGGTTGTCCGGTTACAGTTAGTCAAACATCATGAATCAAAGAAAAAAACTCAGTACCTAGCTTCTTACAAGTTAAACAAAAGGGGAAAATGTGAATTTATTTATTACACTTATTTTGTTCTCTGACAAAACCAAGGAATAAGAAAACGTTTTAACCAAAACTATTGATAAAACTTAAAAAAGAAACTGGTACAATGATTTGGTCTTGGAATCAGTAAATTAAAATGTGAGAACAGAGTGTAAAAATCAAGAGCATTAAGCATTCCTGATGGCATGCCAAGCTATTTTAGAGAGAGCAGCAAGAGCTTCTCTGCAAGTAGGTTTGATGAAACTCTTTGGCAGCAAGAATCCATATTTGCCTGTATCTCGAAGTTCAATTGTAAAGGAATATTTGATGCCCAAGTCATAGATCCAGTCATCTGGACCTCCAGGAGCTAGATCTATAAGAAGAAAAAAGAAATTACTTTTCAAAATACAGAAGTTTCAAATTAACTAACAAAATGTGTTTTTTTTCCCTAAAAATGAAAATTGCTTTGCATTTTTCTGATTAGTAAGTAATATACATTGTTGGTAAAAACAATGGAGATTGATGGAAAACAGGTTAAGGAAGAAAATAAGAATTATCCATAACTCTACCAAGAAGAGATAATCACCATTAATGTCTTAGTGCCTTTTTTTTTTGTAGTGAAGGTTATAACCAAAAAAAAATTTAACTTAATTTTTAAAATTTTCTAAGTTAATATTTTTCCTACATACATAAGCTCATTCTATACATTCTGTTTTGTAACATTTCTAAACATGATATCTGTCATGACCAGTTTTATGTATTGGTGAGCTCAAATAATGTTTAACTCATAGCACTGCACTGTAAAGTTGGATGTAAATTAATTTAAATACCTATTTGAGACTTTTAGATTTTTCTAATTTCTAAGTAATATAAACAACGTTACAATGAACAACCTTGTTTATACATAATTGCTTCTTTGTTCTTTAGAATATTATTTCCTAGAAGTAGATTGCTAGCATAAGGGTATGTACTTTTTACAATTATTCTACATGTTGTCAAATAGTTTCAAAAGGTTCACCAATTTATACCTGCACTAGCAAGGTATGAATATGCCCACTTCTCCCTCCCACATTATCCATGAAATTTTGCATTTATTCCAATTTTATGGGTGAAAAAATAATATCAAATTGTCTTGCTTTATATTTTTTTATTACCAGTGAATTGAATGTTTTGTTTGATACATTTATTGTCTATGTTTATATATATATTTCATTAATTGTCTTACTCATTTCTATTTTGTTCAATTTATAGATTGTTTATAAAAGCAACATTGGAGTTATCCTTGTGTAATATGGGGAGAAGTTTTTCTTCTTATTTGGTTATTTAGCTTTCAACTTGGTTTATGACTGGATTTTTATATAAAAATATTTTCTCTATCTGGAATTTATTTTGGAGAAAAATACGTTAGTAATCCAATTATTTTTCTAAGTAACATCAGGTTTCTCAACCCTATTAATTGAATAATCTAACATTCTTAACTGGTTAGAAATGCTTTATTTATGAAATACTACATCTCCTTGTATATTTGAGGTTTCTAATGTATTTTAATATTTGGTTGGGGTGAATTCTCTCTTATTAGTCTTATTTTTCGGAATTCTACAAGCTCTTCTACTAAATGTATTCGTTCAAATGAAGTTCAAAATCATTTAAGTGTTCATTGGGATTTATGCACTAATTAATTTAGAACAACTGACACATTTTTTACATTGATTTCCCACCAAAAAACATGGCAGATTTCTCCTTTTGTTCATCTTCTTTTATGTACACCAGTAAAATTTTCTAGGTTTTTAACATATATAGATTATATGGATTTGTGTGTATACATGCATATATACATTTAACAATGAATCCACATATATGTATGTAACTATATGTAATATGTGTGCATGTATATATATGTACATATATAGAGGAAGTAGGATCTTTTTTTCATTATATTTTCTACCTGATTATTTTTGGTATATAAGAAAGTTGTAGAGTTGTGTATATTTAGTTCATAGTCAGAAACCTTACTCAACTTTTTAATTGTTACTAATATTTTTTGTGAATTTTCTACTGTTTTCCATGTAGACAACCATCCTATCTAATAAAAGAGAAACATGGTAATTAGCTGTATGGCCGCTACCCTTCCCATTGGCTAATCAGTGAGATATGCAAATTAACTGCCAACCAAGATGGCGGCCGGCAGCCAGGCAGCTGACGCGAACAGGGAGACTTGCTTGCTTCAGTGACGGAGGAAGCCAAGCTTCCCCGCCTGCCTTGCCGGCCTCTCAGCTGCACTCTAAGCAACATTGTAACAAATATAGAAGCTAAACAAAACCCCGGGCTTCAGCCAGCAGGACCGCAACATTGTTTCAAATACAGAAGGTAAACAAAGGCCAGAAATCTGCTTTTAGCAGCGGAGGTCTCATAGCTGGAGCCGAGCCTCAGAGCTAAAGCTGGCCCAGAATAAAAAAAAAGGAAAAAAGGACAGGTTGGGAGCTTCAGTCACCCGCCAGCCTGAAAACGGCCCTCAGCCCCTCACCCAGTCTGGCCAGGCACCCCAGTGGGGACCCCCACCCTGAAAGGGGTGTGACCAGCTGCAAACAGCCATCATCCCCTCATCCAGGCTGGCCAGGCACCCCAGTGGGGACCCCCACCCTGATCCAGGACACCCTTCAGGACAAACCAGCTGGCCCCCACCCGTGTACCAGGCTTCTATCCTATATAGTAAAAGGGTAATATGCCTCCCAGCACCGGGATCAGCGGAGCAGCGAGGCCTCCCGGCACCGGGATCAGCGTGACAGGGGGCAGCGACCAAACCCCCTGATCGCCCTGTGGCTCTGTGTGTGACAGGGGGCGGGGCCACAACCTCCCTATCCGCCCTTCTCTGTTCGTGACGGGGGGAGCTCCTCAACCCCCTGATTGGCCCTGCTCTGTGCATGACGGGGGGAGCTCCCCAACCCCCTGATTGGGCCCTGCTCTGTGTGTGACAAGGGGGAGCTCCCCAACCCCCCTGATCGCCTGCGACTCTGTGTGTGACAGGGTGCGGCGCCCTACCCCCCCCCCCATTGCCTGCCTGAGTGTGACAGTGGCGGCGCCAACCCCCTGATCTGCCCTGCTCTGTGTATGACAGGGGCGGTGCCCCACTCCCTATCGCCCTGCTCTGTTCGTGACAGGGGGAGCTCCCAACCCCCTGATCGACCCTGCTCTGTGCGTGACAGGGTGTGGCACCGCAACCTCCCCATCGACCCTGCCTTGAGTGTGACAGGGGGCGGTACCCCAACCCCCCAATCGGCCCTACCCTGAGCGTGACTAGGGGTGGCATTGCAACCTCCCCATCTGCCCTGCTCTGTGCATAACAAGGGGCGGCGCCCCAACTCCCCAATCGGCCCTGCTCTGAGCCCGACCAGGGGCTGCACCTAGGGATTGGGCCTACTGTATGCCACCGGAGAGCAGGCCTAAGCCAGCAGGTCGTTATCTCCCGAGAGGTCCCAGACTGCGAGAGGGCACAGGCCGGGCTGAGGGACACCCCCTCCCCCCCGCCCCCCGAGTGCACAAATTTTTGTGCACCGGGCCTCTAGTTCTATGTAATAAAAGGTTAATATGCAAATCAACTGAAGCGCAGAATGACCAGTCTCTATGACGCACACTGACCACCAGGGGGCAGACGCTCAATGCAGGAGCTGCCTCCTGGTGGTCAGTGTGCTCCCACAAGGGGAGCCCCACTCAGCCAGAAGCTGGGCTCAGGGCTGGCGAACGCAGCAGCAGTGGCAGGAGCCTCTCCCACATCCACAGCAACGC